TTTCAAAATGTGAATGCAACGTTTTGCTTTTTATGTATTGTTTTTGATTTGATAACTTTGAACTAAACAGATTTTCTATTAGCTTCAGATCTTGATCAAAGTTTGGCACCCAGTTCATAGGAGTGCTTATATTGATTTTCAGACATCTTGTGACATCTTCTGTTAAGATTTTATTGGTAGGTTTGCAAATATGTATCAGACTGTGCAAAAACTCCATGAGTTGGTTTTGAAACCCAGTCTAGTATTTCCATGGGACTTGGGAGATACCCATTACCAACATATTATTACAAGATAAATGATTTGCTTCATTGAACACATAAAACAATGCATATTTCAGTGACCTTTTAATGTGTATCACCACCGATCAGTCAAGTAGAAACAGTCAAAATATTTTATCAGATTTCCTCAATTTTTGCATGATATTTTCATACAGGACATCTGTTGTTCATACTCAGGGAAGACTTTATACTGATGTATAAGGTGACCAAGTTTGATGAAGTTCGGAATAGAATTAGTAAAGTTATTGTGAACACAATAACAATTATTAACGACGACGATGGCGACAACACCGGACAGAAATGCCATCTTTTTTTTGTCTATTGTTAGATATTCACATCTTAGTCCTATCTTAGACTTGTTTGGAGACGTCAATAAATTCCTTGTTGAAATTCAGCAAACCATTCCATGTACTTCATTAGAGACAGCGAAAAAGCTTATTTTTTCTCCAAAATTAAGTGTTTAAATCAAACACCTTTTACTGTCACCTCTTCATATCCTTTATCATTTTTTGGTATGTTTAGACAATATTGCGGAGTGTAATTGTCAGATGATAAAAATGCCCCCCCCCCCACTTCCCCCGAATAATTATAATGCCACTGTCTCGTTTCATCATAGCTGAGCGATGAACTTTAGAATCAAAATATGGCACCCAAAATCTATAATCCATTGGTGACATATTTTACAAAAGGTTTATTTAGAAGGTTATGTTCAAACCGAAGAGTAGCAATTTAGTTGCCTAGCAACAACAAGTGGGTGACCCTGATTAGTTGCACCAGTGACAGCTGTTGATTTGATGATGCATTTTTCCAGTCATGACACGTTCCCTCGTACATTACAGCAAAAATCGCATTAACGTCTTAGGAAGGTGTTGAATCGTGTCACGTAATATATCACGCTAACCGACATACATTGATCAGATCAATGGCAAATCATAGATTTATGTGTGCCCAGTGTAACCTATCAACTTGAGCCAATGACCCCTATGTAAGCAGGTTTCATTTTTGACATAAAGTTTAAACATTTATATTCTTGAATGTCAAATGATGAACAAATTGCAGAATCTTCAAAGAAAATATTGCAAAATTTAAATAGACGATCATTGGCTGTGCACAATGGCTGTGCATGTGGTTGGGAAGACACACAGACAACTCTCACCCGAAGGTCTCACAGTTTGCAAGAATCTCACAGCACTTCCAATGGCTGAGAATCAAATAATTATCACTGATATATTTTAATTTTACTAATTTGATATTATGAAGCAATCACTAGAATACCCAAAAATGTATGAAAGCAGTACAGCAATCCTGCAGACCTTAATGCATACTTTGCGATATTCTCGTGATAACCTGTGCAAAAATGAACACTGTGTTTCATGTGTTACAAACACTATATGTTTAAAACTGTTTAGATCGAATTCAAATTTTGCACTACTGAGCATGTTACTGCACATGTATGCAATGCATTATGGGAAGGAAATTCAAATTTTGCACTACTGAGCATGTTACTGCACATGTATGCAATGCATTATGGGAAGGAAATTTAAATGTTGCACTACTGAGCATGTTACTGCACATGTATGCAATGCATTATGGGAAGAAAATTCAAATTTTGCACTACTGAGCATATTACTGCACATGTATGCAATGCATTATGGGAAGGAAATTCAAATTTTGCACTACTGAGCATGTTACTGCACATATATGCAATGCATTAATGGCAAAATAGTACCACCCTGCAAACTCATTAACTTATATGTCAAATTTGTTATAGATTTCATATTAATAATAATATATGACTTTTTCATCCCATATCACTTACATACAACATTGCGAGAGATGAATAAATATTCTCACCAGTGTAAAAATGAATGAGATTGCAGACTCTTACATACAACTGTATATGTCATAAACAATTATCTGGTGACACAAACTTTGTTTTCATTTTCGATATTCTGATGGTATCAACTCATAGTAATAAAAATATTACAAACATGACATACATCATCTTTAATTTGGCTTGAACTTCCTTAACATAAAATAAGAACATGCAATGTAAAAAGCGATCATCACCAAATTACAGAATAAAATATGAAAATAAATAATAGTTATTCACAGTACGATATGCAATAGAAATAAACAATAGAATAATCATGTACAACCCTGGTGTTCCATGATTACATAATGCAATCCCAGAGACAAGACCTTACCCTTTAAATAGACTGACATCATCATTATTTTTATATTAAACAGGAAGCTAAATTATGCTGCATTCTGGGAGTAAATGGCAGCTGCCTCCTTGTTTCAAAACTAAGTATAATTCTGCATGTGTTTTATCAATAAGTTTTTTCCTGAGGCCAATCACCTATACCTATACGCTTATTAACATTCAAAAAAAACACTTAAGCAAAACAGTCAAGCATATTAATAAAGCAATGTTTGTAATCAGGCAGGTTTCACCTGCACAAAAATCAACTCAGTGAAAGTCATTACAGAATCCTACCCAGGACACAGAACAAAAAAAGCAAACACCCCCCCCCCCCCCATATATTATACTCTCACCACCATTTATAAATTGACTGTTTTTTTTTGGGGGGGGGGGTGAATAAACCAACAAACTTTTATTAATTCGTGTTTTTCACACTATTCTATTTTAGAACTTTTTGATTTTTATTTCAAAAAAAAAATAAAAGAAATATTCAGTTTTTATCAAAAATAAAAGCACAAATTTAATAAAAAGCTATGTGCGTGTGTCAATTTTATAAAAGAAATAGACCAAAAACTTGACCTTAACCCCTTTACATGACATAATATTTTTCTATAATTTCTTCGTTAATTTTGATCCAGATGGATCTAATTTTTCATTGGCCATAGATCTTGATCAAAATATGAAAACAAATATGGGGAAAATTATAAAATATGAGAGAAATTATATTTTGTAAAAGGACCCTTTTATGTCGCTATACATACTATGAAATGTTTTATTTTAGCTGGAACTAATTTTCGCTGAAAAGATATTTTGGGTGTTTTGTATGGAGTTTATTTTCACTAGTTTTTGACGAGTTGCATGTAAAATACAGGAAAAAAGGTATATTCGCTTTATTTTATTTTCACTGCATATCCCTTCAGAGAAAAAAATAGGGAAAATAAATTCCTAGCAACAATTTATTTATCAGTAGTATGGGATTTATATATTGGTAGTAAAACCCTTGATATAGTCATCAAAATTTAACATATTATTAATTTTTGTTATCCATATGTTTAGTGCCAGCAACCATGATCTTTAAAATAGAATGGTTTTATATTAGTGATCCACCACTATATACTTGATATAATTATTATACTGTATTGTCTTTTTAATATTTAAAATATTAAAATTCTGCTTTTATTTAAATTTTTCATAAAAAATTTAAATTTTATTTACGTTTTCTAAAATTCTTACAAAAAACAAGAAAAAATACAATGTTTTTAACATTTTTAACATGCTATGAATAGACATATTAATATTTTTTCTGAACCTTACAAATAACCCCCAAATTTCTGATAATGCATTGAACAATTTTTAACACATGCAAAATCATATTATATTATAAAATATTACATTCCTATATGATTAGAGCTAACTACAAATGTATAACTAAAAATATGTTAAATTTCAAGGATGAAAATGAAGTCAAGGTGGCTTTAATGATTACCATCAGCCCAAGATATAGGGGTGCCATTTTTAAGTACAAAATATTTGACAGTTGTGGGTAATAAATTAGGGTTAGATGGGTAATTTTAGTTGGGGGTTTGTATATTTGGTTTTACTTTTGACAATTAGGTGAAATTAGGATTGAGGTTTGAAATATCTGAATATTAAAAAAAATATTTTAATACAGTGAGCTACTTATTCGAAATCACAGCTTACTACATAACGTGCACCGTTATACTAGTACTACAACCATGCCAATTATCACTATGAGTACTGGTTTAGATCCACTACGTACGACATCAATATACATTTCGTTATTCGAGAAAACAGCCGTACTCGACTGAATCGCCATATTGACCGCGAAATGCGAAGCAGCTGCCTTAAAAGTAACGGGCACTTATTCATCCGTTTCGAGTTGTTAAGCACTCTAGAATTTGGCGCCACATCTTGTGACCCGATGAGCCACGGGAACAATAGATCGTCACAATGTACTGTCATATACTCACAACAGCTAAAAAAAGAAATAGCGGAAGGCGGGCGTCCATTGTAAACAGACCGTCATAACATTAAGCGACGCGAACAGCAATATCCAAATGCCTGTGGTTACGCAAACGAGCCGTTCTCACTCACTCACTGGCAGGCAGCTACACACTTTCAAATCACCCACTCTACTCAATACATGAATCGACCGATATGAGTATTAAATTTATCGCCCATAATTATTATTGCGTGGAGCAAGCTGAATCTAAATACTATTACAGTTATACGCCATGATCATCGACGCTTGGGGGAAATTATATTTTTACAGATCGGGTAAGATATAGCAATAATAATACGAGTTTTGAGATATATACCATTTACTTGATAGTCATATATAAATTAAGGTACTTCCACTGTCGCGGCGACGTAGTAGGTCACGGATGGGAAAACAAAAGACGAACATGACACTGACGAACGTGCACACCAACCAGCACCGCGTCGTGGTCAACACTCGTCCTCGGCATAAAGGGCGTTCATAATATCACTCTTACCTGTCAGTCTCGTACTGTCGCCATGAGTATCGTCACGGTCATCTTGGTTAACAGGACGGAATTCCTGCTTTGAGGTCATTTTTTGCATCTCCATTGACAAGGAAGTCCGATCGGAGTGAATGATTAAACGTACACAACTTTCCCTCCCTACTCAGCACAGCCACTGTTTATTAGTAGCATGTACGAGGTCACGTGAATTGCTCGTCCTCCCTCGGGGAAAAATCGGCATATCATTATCCTATTCGACATTAGGTATGCGATTCGATCGTTTGCGACACTAATGCCCTATATACAGAATAATATAAATCAGACTGGCGAGTACGTATCTAATTTCTTTCACATATTTGTTATTTTCTATTCTGTTAGCAGCGCTCATTGCGGTTTTGATCGCGAGGGTCGGAATGAATGTCGTAAGAGCCACAACGCGTCCGATACATTGCAGGGTATTTTTTTAATTGTAATGTTAGAGTTCAAAGAGACTGGTCTTTAAAAATAAGTCTGGGTATGGCATTAATTCCATCATAGAACCTACAGAAAAGGGGGTAGGAAGCATAATGTGTGCTGTACTATCTTGGATGCAATCCGCGTTAGACTTAATTGGATTAACTTATTTGCATGCAGGTTATATATACTCAGACCACTAAAAAATATTTAGTGCTCTGAGATATACTAGTATATAACCGTATAAAACCGTCCAAACTTTGATGTACAATGATGGTAAAATATTAAAGGGTGGTGTTCGATATGGAACTCATAGCGACGTGTTCCAAGCGTGTGAAATACGTTGTTATTTACAGGAAATTCGAAAACGCGCTGCGGGACGACCACCGCGTCTTACGGGCAAAATGAACAAAGTCGCGTAATAACGTGTTTTTCAAAAGTAAAAAAAAATGAGTGAATGTTGGTGAAACAGCAATTTATAGTTTCTTTTCTGAAAAAAAAAACAACGCCAAAAAAAACGAAAGTGTCCACGTTGTATGCCATGCGAAGCCTTGATCCAAGATCTGTGTTAACGAACAACAGTTAGCTATATAGATACACAAGTAACGATTAGTATCAACAACAACAACAATAATAATAATAATAATAATAATAATAATTGAAAGAAAAAGACTATTAAAAGCAAAACATAAGAACAAACTAAACTGTCGGATTTCTGCAAAGGTGAGTCTTCAGCTTGGTAATTAAGTTTCAGGCGACGATAACAACACACGCTAAAAACGCAAAGGCTTTTGGGTAGACGCTTGTTTGTAAACAATGACACGCTATGGCCAACTGACGCATGCGCAGGTGACGATTCCCCCGCTTTAAACTCATTAAAGATACTGGCATTCATGTAAGGCGCTGCTCAACTTGAAGACATTTCTAAATTGGCTATTTTGTTGACTTGAGTACATATATAGAGAGTTGTGACTTGAGTCACGCAGATAGTAGTCATATGTGACGTCTGGAATTATAGAGAATTTCAAATTTTCATTTAAATCGAGGTGGAAGTCGACACTCTGAGTCGTGATTTTGAGTTGGCGGCATGTATTTCTTTCGGTCGCTCTGTATTACGCATCACAGCACTGATTGCTTCATTGTGTCAATTTCTATGTTATATACTAATTCAACCATGCTCACGTGATTGTTACAGTATATAAATCACGAGCGCGAAGCACGAATCATGGAAGTGTCGTAACCAAAAACCATCAAATGATTTAACGAATTTGTACCGCGGCAGTTTATGACAATCGAATTAAGGCTATGAACAAGAGTAGCTTAATCCCCGGGGCTTCGTCGACGATATCATCACCATACATAAATGTAATACCATGTTTAGTTATAGTTTAAATAACAACAATGTCTTATATTAGTCCTGAAATGCTTATATTGGTCAATTTTAAGACATCTATTTTATGCTATGATTTTTATTCAAACTGAAAACAACGCCGATTCAACGCTGAAGTACAGCAGTGAGGTCAGGAAGATAAATAAACAACAACAAATATATTACAAATAAATGGCAACAACATAGCCTCGATGCAAATTATTCAACCAAATCAGCTCGACGAACATTAAAAACAATAAATAAAGTGTAACCAATGAATAATTACAAAATAGAAAACAACCGTGACGCGAATATGT